AGAGAGAGAGAGAGAGAGAGAGAGAGAGAGAGAGAGAGAGAGAGAGATAGTTCTGCTTACTAGGTACAAAATATAAACCCCAAAGGCACATCCCCTATCTCCTCTGGCCACACCCTACCTGCTTATAGTTACCACCTAGTTAATACATGTCAGTAGATTAATCCACTGATTAGATTAAGGCTCTCATAACCCAATCATTTCACCTCTGAAAATTTTTGTATTGTCTTACATATGAGCTTTTGGGGGACACTTTACATCTAAACCATAATATTACTCAGAGGACTAAACTGGCCCCATTAATCATCTTCAGTAGCTTTAAGTGATGTCTGTGAATTAATGTAAGGTTACTCCCAACTGTCCAGAGGGCAAAAGTTAAAATAGATACTGCTTATGGAGCACAAATGTTGGTTATTTCTCAGACAGTCAAATTTTCTTCCCTGTTGATTCTCAGACATCAGTATTTTGAAGGAGGGATAGAGAGTCAAATGCTTCAGGTTCTTCAGGTGCGCGAGTGTAAGAGCAGAAGAAATTAGGTTGGTGGAAGGGGAGTGAAGCCCTCTGGTTAGAGCTTGAGGGTTTTCAGGTTGTGTGTGTTTGGGAGGTGGGAAGAGGTGGGAAAGTCTCAGGATTCCTCATCCATCAGGTGCAAAGATGACTGAATCCTTTGCCAAAAAGAATTTGGTCTCTGAAAACATTTTGGTATTTCTGTGGTTAGCTTCCATTAGACTTCTTTTGCATACATTGTGTTCATGTTTTGACAAATCCTTATTCTCATGAAGATTTTGCACAATTTAAGTAGGTGTGGAGTGTAGATTTAGTGCCTTTGCAAGTCACTCTGAGTATAATTCATGGAGAATATTTTATGGTTCTATTTCTAGTGTCCCAAAAGACTACAAAGGCGTGGTTAGGCTCACATGCCTTCTTCGCATCATCCAGAATGACAGGCATTCTCTGCTTCCATTTACAACATGGTGATGTTAATTAAGGTCCCTCCATTAATGATTCTCTGAGTTCAGGTCATACCCTCAGTGGCTTAGAATCTGGGCCTAACTAATTGTTGATTACTGTCCAAAGTGAGCAAGTGTTTTCCTTAAATAGAATTTGAGATTAAAAAAAAAAAGTTGTTTCTAGTTTCTTCATATCTCTTGACCATTTAGGATTTGACCTTTCTGCTTTAGCACTGGGGTGAAGGGTGAGGGCATTGGGAAAGCTGGCAAGTGAGCTAGCATTTGAATTTTTCATTATAGGCATGTTTTGCTTAGTGAACTAAGGGACTTAAGGGATTTGCCTCAATTGGACCAAAATGCTTTAAGTAGGATACAAATTTCCTGTTTACCTCAGGCTTTATTACTTCTGTTGTTGAATTGACTTTTGTAGTGGAATCCAGAATCTTTTAAATTCTATTTTGTCTTAAACACTTAAAAAATGGACTTCTATTCCACTCTAGTTATAATGCCTTTACATTTGGCTTGAGATTTAGCTACTTTCTTGCCTAAATCAAATGATTTCTTATTCATTTGTAAAATTAACAAAGTTAACAATTGAATAGTGATTCAGAGCACTGTGAGTTACTCTTATTTAAAGTTGTTTTATTTAATTCTTTGGATTATTACAATAATTCCATGGCTGGTGAGGTGATATTTTTCTCCATATTACAAATAGCAGGTAGTATAGCATAATGATTAAGAGTATGAGTGCTGGAGTTAGATAATTTGAGTTTGAATTTTACCTTTAGTAATTCCTAGCCTAGTCTCAGCTAATAAACCTACCTATTTTCCGTATCTATAAAATGGATACCCATTTTATATGGCTGTATGAGAAGTAAATAATTCAGGCAAACACATGAAATAGTACCTATCATATATTAAGTGCTCAGTAAGTCTTATTATAATTAATATTATTGTTATTGGTAGAAAATATACAAAGAAATGGAAACTCAAAAAAGTGGAGCAATCTATCTAAGTTCGTAACAGTAAACAGGAAAGTTAGGGCATAAACTGGGATTGGGAGACTTCTGACACTGGTTTTACATATAAATTCTGTACACATTCTGGGAGGCTATAATTGGGGTCATCCTATCTTTCATCTTTTAACTTCTTTTTCTTAATTTTCTTTGTGTTCTCCTCATTTATACCTGTTGGATATTGTCTGTCCAGTTGTGGGATTGATTTCTTAGAATTCAGCAGAAGAGGGTCCTGCATTGTGGCTCAGTAGTAGAGTGCTTGCCTAGCATGCGTAAGGCACTGGGTTCAATCCCTGGCACCACATAAAAATAAAAACAAATAAAATAAAGCTATTGTGTCCATCTATAACTAAAATAATAATAATAAAAAAAAGAATTCAGCAGAGGAGTTAAACAGTAGGTGCAGGGATATCCCCTGATCTCCCTCTGAATTCTGCCCCAATAGATAGTTTTGAGAAATCAACATCTTATTTCTATTAAAGCATATAATTATTTTTATACATTGAGAGATTTTTTTTAAAAAGTAATTAATAGATATAAACTTCTCAATTCTCTAATTTCTTTCTTCTTAAGAGGGAGAATATTTAAATTTTGGTGAATCTCATTTGTTGTTTCATATCCCTTTGAGATAGTGGAAAAATGGGTTATATTAATTCATTTTGGGGGAAAGTAATTGAAGTTTAGTGTGAAAAGAATACAGGGGTTAGAGTCACACAGATGAAGTTCAGATCTGGTTCCTCTTTGTCTATTATATGTCTCTAAACTGTCCTCATCTGTGTAATGGTGATAAGCAGAGTGTTGTTTGGAGGTTTAAAGGAAGTTTTTTAGCATACTTGACATATACCTGGCACTCAGTAACTAGGGCTATTATTACTGTTGAGGAAAAGGTTACTTTTTTTTTTTTTTTTGCACCAGGGATTGATAGGAACACTTAATCACTGAACCCTTTTTACTTTTTTATTTTGAGACAGGGTTTCCCTAAATTGCTTAGGGCCTTGCTAAGTTGCTGAGGTTGGCCTTGAACTTGCAATCCTCCTACATTAGCCTTCGAAGTTGCTGGGATTACAGGCATGTACCATGCCCAGCAGGAGGTGACTTTTCATACTGGCTCAGAGTTATAGTTAGGTGGGTATCCAGTTCTCACTGAATGCTGCATGCACTGCTTAATCTGGATATGTTTTCTCTACATTTTAAATCTAAGTTTTGATATTTAGGTTATTTTGAATGTGCCCCTTATGGGTAGGTCACTGGCTCTGTGGGTCAGCAGGCCATGTGCAATGCCCCTTACGTCAAAATTCCAAGTTTACTTCATGTCACAAGACAGAGTTAATGAATCCGCATGACAAACAAGGAATATGATACTTGCAGAATCTGTCAGATGGTGTTTGGATAGCTATTCTCATAAAATTAAAGTAGCAGGTGTTTACTGAGTATTTACTACATACTTGGCATTGTGTGAATTAGGTGATACAAAAGGTACTTTATCTGTCTTTCACAAGACTCAGAATTTTCTGTGGAAAGCAGATGTAATAGAAATGTGACACAATTAAAGAACAACAATAAATACTGTAATCCAATCAAGAACACTCTAGAGTAGGTGTTGCATGGGCTCTCATAGCCTAGTAGATAGAGTCATGTAAACCCACATTTAAAGAGTGGTTCAAAAAATGTTGATAGAGTTATAAATAGGGAATGAAGAGGAAGGGTTATGTGGTATGTGTAAATGTGGGTGGTGGTGTCAGTTCCAGAGAGAGATGATGTTTGAGTAGTTGATTAAGGGGATAGAGGAGGATTTAATGAGGAGGACAAAAAAAAAAAATCACGCTTGTAAAGACACGGAGAGGTGTAAGAGCCTGGTGGTAAGGAAGAACAGCATTTGTTCCATATTTTTGGTAGCTGGAGCTTAGGGTTATGGGGAATAGTGGCAGGAGAGTGAGCTGGAGAAATGAGCAAGGGTTAAGTCATTAAAGACCAGACTGAGAAGTATGAGCATTAAAATGTTGGCAAGCCAGCAGGCAAGCACTGCAGTGTTAGTGTTTCAGAATGGTCTGGAATAAGAAATGAATGAGAAAGGGATCTGACTAGACTTATAGTTCTTTTACTTTTCCAGGTGGAACTTGCAGAAATCTGTGCCAAGAGTGAGCGTTATATTGGCACTGAAGGAGGAGGCATGGACCAGTCCATATCATTTCTTGCAGAAGAAGGAACTGTAGGTAGCATTGAGCTATTTGGAAATATCAACAGGGGAAAATTCATAGGAGAGGAAGGCCTTGAGCTTCCCAGCATGCTTGCTTATGAGCAACTTTTTCTATTAGACTATGTTATAAAATGTTCTTTCCCAACTGCTTTATATCACTGGTTAATTTACTCTGTTGCATGTAGATAGTCTCTACCTCTCCTCCAGAATCATATCTCAAGTCAATTTTTTACTTGTGATTTGTTCCCCCCTGCCATGTCTTCATTATTAAGATGAGATTTTTCAACTCCTACTTATTGAGATCTCCTTTCCTGCTCCTGTCCTAAGTCACTTTATCTCATGGCATTTGCATAATCTCATGTTGGCTTTAAACCCAAATTAGTTCTCTTACCACATGTATTTACAACTCCTCTTTTTATAATTTACTCTTTGGAATCATTTTTCTCTGTCAACATTTTTGGGGTTTCAGTGGTGGGAAAAAGAATGTTGACAGTAAGCCAAGAATGAATTCCTTAGCTGGATACTACTTCCCCCTGCCCATCAACTCCTTTAGGCAAGACAGAGGTTTTGGTTGTTACCCATAAACTGCCCATTTCCAAAATAGAAGCAGACATTTCTTTAAGATATTTTCTTAGTTTTTCATCATATTCCTACAGGCTTGGCTATCTTCCAGGAACACCTGGATTCCTTCTTGTTAAGAATATTTGTTGTTGATTTTCTTAAGCCAAAGACATGAGGCATGAGGAAATTTGGCTTAATACTAAAAAAATACTCTGGGTGTTTTGGATGAGAGCTGACAAGCAGACATGATGGCAACAGTATGGAAGTTAATGTAGATTAGGTATAGAGTCTTAACAGAGTCCAAGTTCTTTAGACTTTGGCAAAGTGCTTCACCATCTGACCCTTACTTTACTCCTCCATTATAACTTCACACCACTTCTCACTCCTCAAACTCTAAATTTCAGCCAAGTTTCAATATTTAAAACTCTATTAACACCCAACATTGTTTGTTGCCTCTGGACTTGCATAAACTTTTTCTTCTTGACGTCCCATTTGAGGATAGAAATTTCTTTCTGCCCTTCTCTTGCTCATCTTTTAGTTTTCAATTTATATTTTCCTTTTTTGAAGGAGTTACACTAGGCTGTATCTGATTAGGTGCTTTAACTAAGTGTCTGTATAGTATCCTGTGCTTTGCTATCACTGTCACACTTGTAACTTGGAAATGTATTTGTCTTCTTGACTATCTTTGCTATGAGGGGAGGGATACTATCTGTCTTGTTCACTGTTTTATCTCCAGGGCCTGGTACAGTGACTGGATATCAATAAATGCTCTTTAAATGAATGAATGCATTTTGAGAGAAGACTTTGTTAGGATAAATACATAAATGTTTAAGCATTTTCTGAATCCCAATCAATTATATCTCACTTGTCATTTTTCTTCTAATAGGCCAAGTTGATAGAATTTAGTCCTCTGAGGGCAACTGATGTGAAACTCCCAAGTGGAGCAGTATTTGTGATTGCAAATAGTTGTGTGGAAATGAATAAGGCAGCAACTTCTCACTTCAATGTCAGGGTGATGGAGTGTCGACTTGCTGCAAAGGTAAGAACATGGAAAACTAGTGAAACTCTTAGTAGGCTTTTATTTCTTTTTCTGCTTATTCTGTCATAGTTGGTATCTTTTCACACGTTTTAGGGCAACATTCTAATTGAAGGGTTTGGGGTACAGACCAACTGGACTCAAAACTGAGGAAATGGATAAACCAATAGCTGTTGTACACCTAGCAGCATGAAGATAATAATAAGATAATAATAATTCAGGACATAGTATTAGAGAGAGTAGAGAATAAAGTAGGGATTTAAAGTTAGAGGGATAGCCAATAGGCAATGGTTAGTATATGATCAGATAGTAAGTAATCTAGTCCTCTTTAAAGGGACATGGGAATTAAATGTTATGGAGAATCCAGAGTAGCACATAATATGAATAGAAAGTTGGAAAAACCTGAGGCTGGAGGTTAAAGAATGGATCATGGGTCAGAAGCTATGCTCTACTCTTCCTTTGATCTCTTTCCTTCTGAGCTGATGGATATCCCCTAATGATCATCAACCTTCACCAGGTTCTATCTGTCTGTAGTAACAATTTTGTATCTTTTTCTATACTGGACACTCTAAAAATACAGACTTGGTACAAACTCCCTGTGTCTAGAAGGAAGAGTCAGCCCAGCACTGACCTAGATCCTGTGGAGATGTAGGTGCAGTTATTCCTTGTGACTGACTAAGCACTTGTCTTCTTACTCCTGCATCATGAGGTTGTGAAGCTAGGGAGAGGAGAGATATGATAAGCCAGAAAAATAAAAGTGTTTTTCTGTTTTAGGGTTTATACCTTCTTAAACTCTCATCCCCTACCCCAGCCTGACTAGTTCCAAAAGTGATCTTATTTTGTTTTCTGTTATAAACAGATATGGTCACACAGGCTTTGGCTTCCTGCTGTCACATCTTCATGCTTCTCTGTACATGAAGAGTTCTTCAAGGCCTTTGCTTAATCTTCTTGTTTCTTTTGGTCTTTCCTCCAGATAATCTCATGCCCTTTCAGAGTTTCAACTTCCATCTTTGTGCTGGTGAAATCCCAGTGATTATCTTCAATACAGGCTTTTTTTGTGTGAGCTCCAAACTTGTATATTCAACATCTTATTGTATATTTCTACTCGAATAAATCATAGACCTCTTAAACTGAGAATGTTTAAACTGAACTCCATCTTACTCTCACAAACCTTTTCTTCTGTCATTTGTCCTATCATCATTCTTTAATTATGGCATAGACTTCTCACTGTTCATTAAATCCATGCTGTCTCTCTCCTTATCATTCTTTAAATTAAACAGTTATAATGATGGTTTAGAAAATTAAATCTTATCTGGCAATTTCCTTGCTTACCATCTTTCAGAAGCTTCCCATTTCTTTGGAATAAGGTAAAAAGTCCTATTGCCAGCTGGAGAGCTAAATACCTGAAGCCTGTGCACATCATCTTCTTCATCTTCTTGTATCTCCTACTTTCATTACATTCCAGCCATGAAGTTCATTCTCAATTCCGGAACTTTGCACATGTCCAGGACACTCCTCTCTGAAGTCTCATTTAAATGTCCTTGAAAGAAACCTTCCTTGACTTCCTTAGGATTTCTTTATATTTTGCATCTGTCGGGTATGGTACTTATCACAATTATTTTTTAAATGTCTGTCTCCTTTTTCAGATTTGATTTTGCCTGAAAGTTGAGGCTATGTCCATGTTGTTAACTCTTATATCCCTAGTGCTTAGGCTGAAATAGGTGCAGGATAAACATTTCTTGAGTGAATGAATGACTACTTCTTGTTTTACCTTCTCTGTCCCATTTATTTCCCTACATTTCACAATTTTTCTTTTACAAGTGCCTTTTGTGTGCCCAGCACTGACCTAGATCCTGTGGAGATGTAGGTGCAGTTATCCCTTGTGACTGACTAAGCACTTGTCTTCTTACTCCTGCATCATGAGGTTGTGAAGCTAAGGAGAGGAGAGATATGATAAGCCAGAAAAATAAAAGTGTTTTTTTGTTTTAGGGTTTATACCTTCTTTCTAAATAGATCAAGATTTAAATGTTTTATATTTGAAATTTATTAAGATAATTTATAAAACCTATGTAGAAAAATGTTTTAACATTGAACTTTTCATAGCATCTGATCAGTTCATATACACAAAAGGAGTACAATAAGTTTTTCAATATCAAGGGTTCAATGAACTTTTACTCCCTTAGGACATTCTTCCTCTTTAGGGAGATGGAAGAAATTAGTCTTATTTGTTTGAGGTTTACTCTTGTTGACTTTTTATCTTGAGGTTGATGAGTAAGTGTTGTCTTCCTAAGAAGACCTCAGACATACACAATATTATTTTGAAAGTTCTATCACGAAATTATATATCCTCAACTAGAGCCACAGGTGACATTTGAAAAGGTTCATATTGTCACTACTCTGGTCCAAAGAAGCAAGAAGAAAATGAGGAATAAAATTGTGGTATGGGGGGAATGTCTCTTAAAAATTAACTAAAAGTGTTTCTGAAAAAGAAACACTCAGAAACAGTAGTAACTGAAGATCTTAATCCACTCCACAACCTCCTATTCTGGAGGATATCCTCTGAGTTTAACACATAGCTCCATATTCATTTTAGAGGTACTTTGGTCAGTGAAATTGACATCTGAATTTGAATTTTGGCCACATATTTTCCCCAAATGATGTAGATAAGACACATTGTTTAAAATACATAATATTTCCTCTCTTTCAAAATATGGAGGAAAAGTGGGAGACTTCATCATAATGGAGACAATTTTCTATATCAGGTTGCTGCAGATCATTAGAATCCAAGGTTCTGTATAATAGGGAAATGAAGATAAAATTGCTGATAAGTGCTGTATCCAGAGATGTTGATGTTAGGAATATGTTTTTGCTTAGTAATGTAGACTGAGATTCTGCTAAGCATATTTTCCTTACAACATGGTTTATGTTTTCATTCTTCCATTTTGGTAGTAGGTGAGTAGAATTAATTTTTCTTTGAAATAAGTCTTATCAAATAAGAAAATAAACTCATGTTAAAAGGTAAAGAGGCTTATCTCAATCAGGACAAACTTTTGTGTTTGCAGACAATAATATGTCAGTGGAGAATGGCTAGTTAGGATACTTTTAGATAGAGCTCTACAGGGCAAAGATGTAATGAATAATGTTTATTTTTCTTCTTCTCCTATCTTCCTTAAATCCTTTTTTGAAATTGAGTGTCTTTCATATTTAGTTAGCACAAGGAAGTACACTAAACCAATAGAGGTGATTTTTATTTGTTTTACTTTAATATTGAGTTTCTTTTATTCTTGTTTCCTTTCTCTGTCTCTGTCTCTCTGTCTCTGCCTCTCTCCACTAGCTTTCAAAAACTAATTGATTTAGATTCATTAAAAGTCATAATCTTATAGAGCATTTGAACTAAAATTAAAAACATTTCAAAGAAAACTCAGTAGAGATTTATAATTATTACTTGCGTAAATGATACTTTTAAGTGAGGCACATTTTTATGTTCTTAAATTAACAAAGTGGTAGGAATCTTTAATGGGCACAAAATCCTTCATATTTTTCATGTATTTAGTGGCTTAAACTTTTCCAGAAATATATTATGTCTATAAAAGAGAGTATCCTTTAGTTACATCGAGGGATAAAATTGTGATGGCAATAATAAGTATTATGGGAAGTCAAGTAGGGAAGAGAAATTATACTGTTGCTTTTTGCATATCCTCAACTCTTTGTGGCAATGTGTGGAGCAATGAAGGAGAGAGTTTCATGTGGTCCTTTGACACTTCAGGGAATATTTCCAGTGATTCTTTTGAGGGCCTTTCTGGTCAGGGACCATCACTCACCCAGTTTTTCAGCTCTTTCCACTTAGTGGTCAATATGGAACTTATTCTTTGTCTGATAGAATGTGAGGAGGAGTTGGCATAATATTCTTAGGTCTTTGGCAGTTTCCTTGAATTTGAGCAGGGAAAAACCAAATACCCAAGAATGTAGACAATTTCCTCCATTCTGTTGATTCAATAGAGCATACTGCCAAGACTCTAGCATGGAGTTTTCAGAGAATGGTGAGTCCAAGCTGTATGGCAGCGGGGGGACATACTGGGGAACTGGTAATATGTTCAGTGGAAACAGGCCTTGGCAGGCCCTTCAGTGCTGTATTAAGGATTACCCAGACTTAGTCCTGGAAATAGTAGGGAGACATTAATTAATTAATGTTGTTAGCAGGGGATTTGAGAAATATTATTCCAACAGCAGAAACTTTTGACTTGATGAAGAGAAGTGTGTCTTAAAGAGTATTGGGTAGGATACAAAGAAAGAGAGATGAGAGAAGCTATCACTGGACCTTGTAAAGGGTTGCATCCAAGTCCTCCTGATTGTGTTTCTGTTTTCCTTTTGACATGTATGCAATAACTTTGAAAAGTTTTCTAGGACATCTTCCCTACCCTCACTAGATTCAGTGCTTTTGTATATACTCTAAGCACATCTTATATTTTTCAGTTAGAGCAGTTTATCACAATTGGATTAAGTTCTTCACTGTGTAATGTTTATTTAACATTCTATCTCTTCTGGTAGCTGTGAACTCCCTGTGGTCTAAAGACATGTGTGCCTCAGTCATTGCAGTCTGTCTGCCTGGGGCCAGGGAAGTGCCAGGTACTCAGTAAACACTCATTGCATGCAGATGTGCACAAATGAAGGAAAAGCATTGAGTTCATAAGGGCTGCAGCTTCAAGCTGAAATGATGAGTAAAACGTATGGTGTTGCTGCTGTGAGGTTTGACAAAGGTAGGATGGAAGGTGACTGGAATTCCCCCATGGAATTTTCTTATAAGTATTTGGTAATTTTAGCTTTGAATGTGTCTGTTGGTCACCGATATAGCCTTCAGATGTAGTTGTTTTAAGGTAGTAGTTAGTTGAAACCAATAGCTAAATTCAGTTTGCTGGGGGAAAAATATAGCAAGAGAAGTTCAGAAGATCAGAATAAGCTTGGGAGATGGCTTCAATTAAATAAGAAAAGAAAAAAAAAAGATG